TTCTATGAGAAAAACTATACTACAGTCATTACATGAAGGTCACTTGGGAGCAGGAAAAATCAAATCCTTAGCCAAAGATTACATGTGGTGGCCTGGTATAAATAATGATATCGTTATGGAAGTGAAAAGTTGTGACGATTGTAATATATATCATGATAATCCTATAAAGATACAAAAACCATGGGTTTCGGCAACCTAACCGTTTGAAAGGATACATATAGATTATGCGGGTCCGTTTTTCACAAAAAATTGGTTGATAATAGTCAATGCCTACAGCAAATTTCCAATTATTATTCCTGTTAAAAATATTACGACTGATGTTACTTTAAAAGAAATCTTTAAAACTATTTCGCTATATGGAATACCTGAAACTATAGTTACTGATAACGGCACTAACTTTACGAGTAACGATTTTGAAAAATTTTGCAACAACTTTGGTATTAAACATGTGCTTACATCTGCTTATCACCAGCAATCCAATGGCCAGGTTGAACGCATGGTTAGAACGTTCAAAACACATATGAAAAGGAATATTAAAATAGACCCAGATATCGCACTTAGCAAATTTTTACTTAATTACAGAAATACGCGTAATGATACTACAGGAGTTACACCATCACAGAGAATGTTTAATCGAGATATTAGAATTAAATGGGACTTATTAAAACCGATGGAGGAGAAGGAGAATAAAATAAATGTTACTTTACCACGAAATAGAACTTTTAATGTAGGAGATTTTGTTTGGTATAAAATACAAGGTGATGATAAATGGTGCAAAGGTATTATCACACATAAAGAAAGTGATATGATGTTCCAAATTAAGACAGAGAAAGGTATTTTGAGGAGACATTTAGATCAAATAAGAATTAGAAACTGTTTTAACACAATTATTAACTATGACTCTAAGGATTCTTTTAAGGAGGGAAGTATGGACAAAAATATAAAAATTACTGATAATAACGATATAACACCTATCTCTAGACCTGGGCGAATAAAAAAAAAACCTGCTTATTTAAAAGACTATGTAACTTAAAATATAAAATAAATGTTAAATTGCATAAACTAAATTAAAAATTAAAACGCTTATATTAAAACGCAAAAAATTAAAACGCTAAAAATATAACAATCTTATTGATTTATCATTCTTCATTTATTCTTATGATGAACTATTATTTCTTATTCGCAACTTATTTATGATAATAACAATTTTGGAAAAATGATAATAACAATTGAGTACTATCAAAAAGCTATGATTAATGGAGACAATTTACGATATGGATATCAAGCTTGTGATTAAACAAACCAACGTGCAAAATCGAATTGATCAAACCAACGATTGGGACAAGCCAACGTTATGATGATTTGTGATACAACTTGATTACCAAAACGATAAACCACTTGGACAACAAACTCTCTGTGTCTTCTCCGATGAAATTATCAGAAGAGGGAGAATGTTGCGTTATTCTAATTTCTTAATCTTATTATATATTTTTGTAATCTAATTTTTATTATTTGATTTTTATTATGTGTTATAATCTAATTTTATTTTATAAACGGCGTAACCTTACTTTTTTTATATTATTTTACTTTTTTGTATTTCGTTTTATATTCTAATTTATATTTTAGAAAATGTATATATACCTTAAGAAAAGAAAAAGAAGTTAGTTAATAAAATATATTTTTTATTTAATAAAGTTAATAAAACATATTTATTATTCACCGGCACATAATTCATGTTATTCTACAAGAGTTATTCAGATAAACGTTCGAGTAGTGATATAAGAAAGAATAACTTGGTTATGTTAGGACATAGAAAGAACATAACCGAACCTCTTAATTCTGGAAATGTTTTCAAGCAGGCGCGTACACAGGAATTTGGTCTGGGGGGGGGGATAATAAATTTTTTAAGAAATAATATTGTTAATTAAAAATACTAAGCATAAATTTATTAGGTTAGGATTAATAACTTTTCTAATACACAATTTTAAACTAATGTGAATTTAAAAAATTATATATATAAACCGGCATTGAAAAACTATAAAATAAATGTGAATTATAAAATATAAAGTGAATATAACCCATGATATGAATCACTTAAATGACCCAAAATTGAAATTTGAATTTTTTGAGCTTTTAAAATATATAAAGTATAAAAAATTTAAATGTTGGAAATATAAATTAATACACAATAGGAATAATTGTATTTTGTATGTTTTGAGCTAATTTTTAAATTATCAATCCTTGCTTGGCGTTAAATGTCTTCAAATATTCAAAAGATCCAAATCATTCAATCTACTTTCAGATGTTATATTTCATAGGTATGTTTTTCACAGACTTGCAGGTCCGGCCCCCGAGCCGGAGCGTATTTTAATTTTTTTAAATATACCCGGGCCGGGCCGGTAATTTTTTTTAAAGAAACACCCGGGCTGGGCCTGAAATCTTTTTTAGAAAATATATCCGGCCCGAGCTGTATATTTTTAAACCAAATATTTGAAATCGCCATTATTAGCTATAAAAATCAAAAACCAGGCCGGGCCTGAAAATTTTTTTTAAAAAAACCCGGGCCGGAAAAATTTTTTAAAAAAAATCTGGGCCGTGTCCTGCAAATGGTACCTCTGCAAGGTTCTGTTATTCTTCTTGTACCAATATGGGATTGATATTTATATTGCTGAGGCTAGTGGGAGAGACTGAACATAAGGCAATATATATAAATTATTGAATTTGGTAATCTTACTGAATACCCAAAAATGATTCTCTTTTATTTCAATTCTTTTTATTTTATTCCACTTTTAATATATCAAAAAAATTATAATTTCGTAAAAATTCATCATAAAAATAAGTAATGAAAAATTATATATTTCTTTTTCAACTATAATTTAAAATATTCATATTCATAGACATTTTTAAAATAATTATATTTATTTGCATACGATGAAAGCTCATTTATATATTTTTTGCTAGCCATTAAAAATCCTTTTTCATAACAAATTCAAAATTATAAATTTGCATGGCGAACAAAATTAATCGTAATAATATTAATTAAAATTATAATCTAATATTTGAAATATAAATTTGAATAGAGAACCAAATTAATAATAATAATAATGTTAACTAAACTTCTAACATTCAAAACCTAAAAGATTAAGTACAAACTAAACACTTCTTAAAAAAGTGAATGTTCTCTCATTAGTTTACTAAAGAGCTGCTAATATATATAACCATTTTAATACATTGGTGGAGTATAATAAAATGTGTTTGAAATAAAAAGCATCCATAGCATTTTTTGGGACTGTATCAACCATAGTTAATCTTTTAATCATAGTTATTCAGCTAATAAGGCATCATTAGATATTTTAACATCTTCATGATAAATCATAACAAATATTCATATTTTTTTTCTATCACTATTTTTTTTTCTATCACCATATGAAAAAGGTTGGGAGAGGAAACATTTGTTTTATAATACTCTTCTACTGATCCTATATTAATGTTTTGACGATGAGCTTGCTTGCTGCAAGTCGAGGGGGACAAATATTAAACACGTATAGCTCTGCTTTTGACTCAACCATAACATATAAAATATGAAATTCTTCAACAACATTAGCTCTAATTTCCTTGAGTTCTAATAAAATGCTCTCCGCTATTCTCATCTTATTAATCAAGTCAATGTTATGTTTTTGAAAAGTATTACATAAATTAGTTGTATAATTAAATAATACATTCTAACGAGAAAATAAATTTGGAATAAGTATTGAATCCAATAATTTTCTTGCTTTGGAGGAAATATTTCTTTCAAGCCATTGTGATATTTCAGTAATAGCATTAATAATCGGCTCTTCTAACTCCATAATAGCTGTTACTGTGGCGGAGACTCGATCTCGTTGGACAAGCTTGAAATTTCTTTCTTCCTGTTGGACAAGGAGTTTCAGAGATAATTATTATTTGACTAAAAATTTAGATAAATATTATGCCACTAAAATTTGAAAATAATAGGTAAATTACGCCAAGGAAAACTTGAAATCGAAATTGATTGATAAAATAACTTAGTAGATGAATGTGATAAATAAATGTAATTAAATATATATATATATATGAGATAGGAATAAATATTAACAAATATAAATTAATATTAACAATAATATTTTTGAAAAATATAATCCGGCATCTGCATTTTTTGTCTTGGGGAGGTGTCCCCCCCCCCCCGCTGTGTACGCCAATGTTTTCAAGGTATTTGAATTTCATCTCAACCAATTGTTAATGCTTTATTTTATATTAGTTTTATTTTATACTTCTCAATCATTGACATAAAATTATATTATGTTATAAATATTTTCATATTTTTTTCCAGTTATAAGTCTATTCTTATCTTCCATCTTATTTTGTAAACATATTTGATCATTGTTTATTTTTATATGTGATATTTCAAATAAAATCGTATATTTTAATTTTGTGTTCAAATAACTTAAATATTCGTTCATGGTGTTGAGAAATTCTTTTTTAACTGCCCTCTTCCGCCAATTTTTGTCAACCCTTCTTCCCCAAAGGGTGAAATTAGAATCGGGCCTGGAGAGGGCATTTGTAATTTTGTTAACCTAGATATGGGTAGAAATATTTATATTTTAAGGTTAATTTTCTAAAACTGAAATTTACACAAATAAATATTTCAAGGAAAATGGTTTCATCTTTTGTTTTGTTATTGCGATTTCTGGATATTTTGTTTATAAAATATTTTATTTGAATATCAAATTTATATATTATAACTTTTTTTGTCATAAAAATTTACAATTATTCCATTTCTGTTTTTGTTACGTAATATTGTGTTACAATATAAAAATTTGTTATGATATTTTTAGAATATAATTTTCAACGTTCTATAATGTCGTTCTAAAAATTTAAAAGTTAATTATAATTTTGTTTAAATTGAAATAGGGTTAGGTTGGTAATTTTTATTTACATATCGATAATTTCCTTCATTTTATCACTTTTTCAAATTTTTTATATATATAAGATAAGATAATTTAGATAAACATATAATTTAAAAAACATAAAAAAAATTAAAAAAAATATAAAAACATAAAAAAAACGAAAAATTAATTAAAAATTACAAAAAAATTTGAAAAATCTAAAACTTAGAAAAAAAAATCAGAAAATATATTAAAGATGTCAGCTGCAAACGTTATGCTTCCACCATTCTCTCATGCATCACTATATGTTGGTGACTTACCTAGTGATATATCTGAAGCTTGCTTATATGAAAAATTTAGTCAAGCTGGTGCTGTTATATCTATTCGTATATGTAGGGACAATATCACTAGAAGACCTTTAGGCTATGCATATGTAAATTTTGGACAAGCTGCAGATGGTATGTGAACTTTATTATAAACGATATATTTTTTATTATAGCTGAAAGAGCTATTGATATGATGAACTTTGACATGTTGAGAGGTAAACCAATAAGAATTATGTGGTCAAATAGAGATCCTTCTCTTAGAAAATCAGGGATTGGAAATATATTTATTAAAAATCTTGATAAATCAATTGACAACAAAGCTATCTATGATACATTTTCAGCTTTTGGCACAATTTTATCTTGCAAGGTATTTTTATATTTATAATTCTTTAGAAAAATATTTATTATTAACTTCCTTTATGTGATAAAAACATTTTAATTTTATTAGATTTATTTTATTTTTCAGAGTTGCCAACTCCTTTTTAAAAGTAGCTCCTGCTCCCATCCCTTCAAAAGGAGCTAGCTCCCACTCTACGTAATGGAGTGTCATTCCATAGTGCTCCTTTGATTTTCATTTTTTACACGAAACAAAATCATATTTTTTAAATCTTTTATTAGGTTTTAAAAGTAATAAATTTTCTAAATTTGAATCTATCAAACATACCTGCTTATCCCCTAAAACCTGTTTAGCAATACTAAACTGACATAAACCATAACAATAGAGGGAAGTGTGATTTTATAAAAATATTTTAATTCAGGAAATTTATCAAAAATAGTAATTTTGATATCATTATTTAAAAATATTTGTCCATTATATTATTTTCCTGATGATCATTTTCATGGAATCCAAAAAAATAAAATCTTCCAAATCATTGCAGGGTTCCTGTGAACTAGTAGCTATTTTAGAATCAGAAATTTGTTTTTTTTAAAATTAATTAATCTGCAATAAAATTATAATAGATAATTTATTTTTATTTTCTTCTATATGTCTTGATCCATAATATCAAAACTATTTTTTATCATATATCTACAAAATGAATATTAATACGACTAAGATTTTCAAGAAATTTTCAATATATCCCTGAAAACTAGGCGCCCCCTATCAAAGAAGCTTAATTTAAATTATATTAATATAGAATCCGTATTTAGCTTTATAAGGTGAGTTAAAACATGTTTTTTTTAATTTAAAAAAAATGGTAAAAATTTTTTTGACCAAACTATATGCCCACTATCAAAGAAGCTTAATTCATAAAAATTTAAAGCATAATCATATTAGGCTCATTAAAAGGAATCAAAAAATATTAATATTATAATTTAAAACTTGTAACTTATTGAAATTTTGTAAAGTGTTTTTTCAAAAGACCAATAAGTTATAAATAATTTATAAACTTAATATTAACACGTTTTGATTCCTTTTAATAAGCAATATATATGATTCTGTGCCCCCTATCAAAGAAGCTTAATTCAAATCATATATAGCATATAAAACTTGGCTCAACATTTAATGCTGCATAAATTTAAATAAAATAAAATTTCATTTTTATTTTATTTTAATTAACAAATAAACAGATTTATTAATATTTGAAAAATAATTTAATTTATACATTAAATTTAAAAGAGCAGTGGAGTGGCGCTCCTCCACTTCAGCCCTAAAAGGAGTTAATTCCCTCTCCCGTTCCTGATTTTTAAAAGGAGTGGTGCTCCAGGTGTTTTTGAGAGTGCTGCTCCTTAACTGATATTTTTATAAATTTATTTACTCCTTTATTGATAGAAAAATGGTATCTTCTATTTTGAATATTGATCTATTATTACAATTAATAAGGTTCTTATATTTTGATCTAAAAAAGTTTAATTTTATAATACTGTATTAAACATAACCATCTTATTAAATATTATTGAAAAATAAATTAAGGTTGCAATGGATGAAAATGGATCCAAGGGATATGGCTTTGTTCATTTTGAATCATCAGCAGCAGCGGATAAGGCTATTTCAAGGGTTAATGGAATGTTACTTAATGGCAAAAAAGTGTGAGTATTTTTTTTTAGATATACACTACAGGCACCTTCATGGGCCAAGCACTTCATTGTCAGGGTGTGGACCTAATATTATATTTTCTAGCAGGCCTGGGCTATATCTGAGGTTTAAATATTTTTTAATGAGCATAGGCATGAGCTTAAAATTTTTCCACAATTATAAATTTCAGATTGCAAAAAAATGATGGCTTAAATACATTGATATTGTTTATTTTCATTGAATACAATAAATTCAATCGTTAGATATGGGGTTGGGTTAAATTTTAAAACTTATGGGTTTGGACAGAGCTTTAAACTTTTTTAATAATATATGTGGACCAGGCCTGAGCCTATAATTTTTTTTTACTGTGGATCTAGGCTAGGCCTGATCAATCAAAAAATCTATGCCCACAAGTAGTGTTATTAAACAGCTCGTTTTGAGCCGATTTTTAAAAACAGCTAACTCAATATTTTATCTAGAATATTATTACGCAAGCCTGAAGATTTTGTTTGTAGAAGGAACAAAGGTTTGGACATCTATTATCAAAATCTCGATGCCTAGGCATTGTTTTTCTGCCTAAAATATTGAGTTAGCCGTTTTTAAAAATGGGCTCAAAACAAGCCGTTTAACAACACTACCCACAAGGGTCCCTGAATACAGTACAGAGATCTTTCACTGACTCATAAGGCCAAGCTCACCCTATGGGTTACCTTAATTTCAATTATTTGGGCTAGGCTTTTATTTTAATAAACAGAGCCTGGGCTAATATTTAGCACTAAATTTATGTTTTTACGAGATATAAAAAGCCATTCAGATTTATTTCAGATCTATCCTCATCTGAAGAGATTTTTTTAAAATCCTATTGGTGTGACCCAAATATTTTTCCAATAGATCCTAGTCTGATAATATCATATTTTTAAAAAATTTGGTTTTTACTAAACATTTCAATTATAATCAATAATTAAATTAAAAATTTTTTTAAAAATATGGTTGAATGACATACACATTTTTTAAAAAAGGGGTCAAGGGGATAAAATTTAAATTCTAAATTATTTTCAGGAAAATTGTATCTTTATCAGAGATCTGCAGAGGTACTATTTGCAAGCCTGGTCTGGCCCGGCCCAGATTTTTTTTTTCAAAAATTTTTTATGGCCCCTGGCTCGGGTTTAAAAATTTTAGGCCCAGCCCTGATATTTAAAAAAAAAATTTTTTGGGCCCAGCCAGGCCCGGATTTAAATAAAAAAATTTTAGGCCTGGCTTGGATTTTTTTAAAATTATATTCAACCTGGTATATATAAAAAATTCACCAATTCGGTATTTCATCATATTTTTCGGACAGTATTATCATTTAACAAGCAAGCATATTAGCTAATGTTGTTAAACGGCTCGTTTTGAACCGATTTTTTAAAACGGCTAACTCAATATTTTCGCCAGAAAAATATTGACTAAGCCTCGAAATTTCGATACTATTAGTCTAGACCTTTGCTTCTTCTATGAACAAAATTTTCAGGCTTGTGGTTTATTTTTCTGGATAAAATACTTCATTATCCGTTTTTAAAAATCGGCTCAAAATGAGCCGTTTAACAACACTACATATTACATATTTTATTATTTTTAATTCTAACCGGATATTTAGTATATTACAAATGGATACTATAAAAAATTTGTGTAAATAATATTTTGAGAATATACTATATTAATTGTATTTATAAAATAAATAAAATATTTTAATTAATAAAAAATATAACATATATTATATAATAATGTATTTTTTACCTATTATCTTTTGCACAATTATTCCATAGTAGGAAAACTATAATTATATTATGTAATAGATACTATGAGTGTTAGCTAGTGTTAACTTTCACCCAATATTATATTAATCAATCATTATAACCATATCTAATTGACGAATATAATAATTCATGTTGTATAAATTTTTTTTTAAAATTTTATGGCCTAGCCCGGCACGGGTATTTTTTTTAAAAAAAATTTTCAGGCCTGGCCTGGGTTTATAAAAAAAAATTTTCATGCCTGGACTGGGTATATTTTAAAATTTTTAAATATGGCCTGGCAGGGTCGGCTTTGCAGCAGGTCTCTGATAGATAAGTTAGTAGTTCAAACGCATTTATGGTTTGTCTCAGGTTCAAACTTCTGTTTTATGGGAATATGACTTGGCTGGATTATGAAATTTGTTTCTTCTTCTCCGTTTTATGGCGATTTCCAGGTTTACCCGGGTAGGCCAGTTTTCCCTCTGATTTTTCTTTTCCATTTTTGACGGTCCTGAGCATCAATACTTGTAAGATTCAAGCTTCTCATATCCACCGCTATCACATTTGTCCACGTCATCTTGGGTCTTCCTCTAGGTCTTGATCCTCCTACTTCCATCATTGTGCATCTCTTTACCCAGTCATCTCTTGTCATACGTTCCACATGCCCAAACCATCTTAGTCTATTTCGTCGCATTACCATACCAATCATTTCTATACCTAATCTTGCTCGCAATTCCTTGCTAGTTTTTCTCTCTCTCAGAGATACCCCACACATTCATCTAACCATCCTCATCTCTGTTCTTTCTAATTTGGCTTCGTGAATTGCTTTCATTGCCCATGTTTCACCGCCATAAACTAAACAACTCCTCACACAGCTTACGTAAACTTTCCCCTTTAACTTTAGAGAAACTTTTTTATTTGTAAGAATAGACGACATCTCTCTGAACTTCTTCCAAGCTTGTCTGATCCTTGCAACAACAGCAGAATCTACACCACCATCTGCGTTTAGCATATCACCTAAATAACAAAACTTATCCACTTTTTCTAGGGTTAACCCATTGCCAATATCCAGACCACCATTTTTTAGGTTATCATTATTATGTATCCCTTTCATGCATGTTTTACAAATAAAGGTCATTCTTTCTAACATCAAACTGCCTTTTTTCCCACTACATCTTTTATCTACCCATTTCTGGCATCTGGTGCATTGGATAGAATTTCTAGCAACTCCTTTCCCACATACACCACAAGGCCACTTACCTGATTCTTCTATCTTTAGATTTTCCCCACCAATCATCACCTTTGTTTTTGATGCATTCATTTTCAGGCCCTTTGCTTCCATAGTCATCTTCCATTTACTAACTTTATCCCTCAATTCTCCCTCACTGTTTGCCATTAATACAAGGTCATCTGCATATAATATCTCCCAGGGAAGTCCTTCACGCATTTCTCTAGCCACCACATCCATTACTAAGATAAATAATAATGGACTCAGCACGGATCCTTGATGAAGTCCTACCTTCACCTCAAAGCTGTCACTATCACCATAATCCGTCCGTACTGCTGTTTGTGCTCCAACATACATTGCCATCACTGCGGTAACTAACCATTCCTCCACACCAGGATTTTCTCAAGGCCCATCTTGTAATCTCACGCGGCACCCTATCAAATGCTTTCTCCAAATCAACAATCGCATAATAGAGTTTCTTTTCCTTCGCAAGATACTTCTCCTGAATTTGTCTCACCACAAAAATTGCATCTGTCGTGCCTTTTCCCGATGTAAAACCAAACTGCATTTCATCAATTTTGATTTGTTCCCTTATCCGCTTTTCTAACACTCTCAAATACTTTCATTGCATGTTCCAAGAGTTTAATAGCTCTGTAAGACCCACAATCTAAAGGATCACCTTTCCCCTTGTATACTGGGATAATTATACTTCTTCGCCAGTCCTCGGGAATAGTACCTTCTGTGACAATCTGATTTGCTAAATTCATTAACCATTCAATCCCTAAATCATCAGAACCTTTAAACATCTCTGATACCACCATCGTTAAACCCGATGCCTTCCCTTTCTTCATCTTTTTCACTGCTCTCCTTATCTCGTCCTTGCCAAATTTACACCCTGGACCTTCTACCTTTGCACAACTAATATTATTATTCCATTCATTTTCTTCATTCAAAAGTCCTTTCATGTAAATCTTCCAGGTGTTCTTAATACCACTACTATCAATCGTCATTTTTCCTTCCATATTTTTCAAACACTTTACACCTATCACATCCTGCCTCTTTTTTGACATCTGTTTTGCCATTCTAACCATATTTCCAATTCCATCAGCGCATTCCATTTCTTTAGCAAACTCGTGTCTTTTTTCTTCTTGAGCCTTCGCTATCTTTTAGCCATCTTGTAAATATCATTATCACTATTTTCTTTGCTATTATACCATACTTTGAAACACCTCCGTTTCTCATCCACGGCTTTCGCTACCTCCGGGCTCCACCACCAAGTCTCCTTATGTCTAGGCGGCCCTTTTGTCCATCCACATACCTCCTCAGTTGTCATTACCCCAGCTTTCTTCATGGCTTCCCACTTGTCTATTCACCCCAGATGCTTGTGCCACCTCCGCCTCCCTAATCGCCAATGCCATATTGAATTGACGTCTAGCATTCTCCTCCTTCAATTTCCAAACCTTCAGCCTTGGGACAAACTTTCTTTTAGTGACCCTGGCACCTTTAAGAGTGAGATCTCCTATAACTAGTCTATGCTGATTTATACATTCCTCTCCTGGTATCACTTTCACATTTTTTATTATACATCGATCACATCTCCTTAATAACAAGTAATCCACAACACTTTTGGTACTACCCGACTTATAAGTCACCAGCTTCTCTGATTCTTTCTTAAACATTGTATTACAAACAATCATATCCATAGCATCACTAAATTCTAAAATCCTCTCTCCTTCCAAATTTCTCATGCCGTAACTGAACCCTCCATGTACTCCTTCATAACCCTCACTACTCGCTCCCACATGTCCATTCAGATCGCCAGCCAGGATAATCCCCTCTTCATTTGCCAGTCTCGATGTCACCCCCAATAGACTGTCCCAAAATACATCTTTCTCTTCTTCACTTCTTCCAACCTGAGGAACATATGCTGAGATCATATTATATAGCTTTCTACCAATAATCATCTTGATAACCATTATCTGGTTGTCTAGCCTTCTCACTTCGACTACTTTGTCTACCAATTTCTCCGCAACCAATACCCCAACTCCAGCCTTACCATCATTACCTCCTTGCCAAAAGAATTTATACTTTTCGCTAGTCTTGCCAATCATTCTGGTCCCATTTCCTTTCCATCTAGTCTCCTGTATGCAGCACACATCTATATGTCTTCTGTGCAATACATCGACGACTTCTCCCCGCTCTTCCCGTCATACTCCCAACATTCCATGTCGCGACCCTAACTCGATCACCCGTAAACTGGTTTCTCCACTTTTCATCAGGTCGTTTATGGCCGTCATAGGTTTCATTTTCATGAATAGTGGTTCCACCAGGTTTCCCATCCTTCTTTTTGTCGTAGGCGGATGAGGAGGCCCACGGGGTACTTTGGGCTGTACCCCGCCCATGCTTTGTTGTAACCATAGGGAAATTTTTGTAGCAAGGTTTTTACAATCGGATGCCCTTCCTGACATCAACCTCTTTAAGTGGTTTTTACACCCCGTCGAGGGGACGGTGATCCTGTAGGATTTTGGGAGAGATTATGAAATTTGTTTAAAATGTATATTCACTACATCATACTTTATATAATCTCATATATAAAGTAATGCAAAATTTTATAAGAATAAATTAGGTATTAGTGGGGTTTTAACCTGTTTACCTGCCTATCCATCATTTTGCCTGTCCATGAACTTTTATTCACTTGCCCACCCATTTATTTAAAAATTTTGTTTAGACTGCCAATTTTTAAATATTTGTTGATTGATTTGGCTATTTTTATATTATTTAAAATAAATTATACTTATTAATTTTACAATTCTATAAAATAAAAAATTAAATTTTGATAAATATAAGCTTGGATAAATATAAGCTTGTTCCTTTTCATTCCTCCCTTAAATTTTAAAATTTGCCCATTCCTTTAAAATTTTTTTAGATTATACTAGTGGGCTGTTAAAAAATTTAAGCATTGGGCTGGTGACAGGCATCTAGTCTATTGCATCTCATACTACATTTTTTGCTATGAGCTGTAAATGTTTCTAGTAAATTTATTGTTCCTAAATATTTCACTTTCCATTTTCATAAAATTTTTTATTTCATTATATTTTTATATAGATATGTTGGAAAGTTTATATCAAAAAGAGAAAGACTGGATCAAATGGGGATTCAGGCTCAGAAGTTTACCAATGTTTACGTGAAAAACTTTGGTGATGATGTTGATGAAGATAAATTCTATTCTCTTTGTGAACCGTTTGGGAAAATATCTAGTCATAAGGTATCTTATAAAAATCGAAATAGTTTTAAAAAAATGTATTATTCAGGTCATGGTGGATCCCACTGGCAAAAGCAAAGGGTTTGGTTTTGTAGCTTTTGAAAATCACGATGAAGCTGAAAGAGTAATGAACCTAACTTAAACCTTTTTTCCTAAAATTATAATTAAAAAAATCAAGTGTGTTGATGAACTGAATGGCAAAGAGTACAATGGCCGAAAGTTATTTGCTGGCAGAGCTCAAAAGAAATCCGAAAGGAACGCCGAATTGAAGGCTAAATTTGATAAATTAAAGATTGAAAGGCAAAATAGGTATGCCGGTATAAATTTATACGTTAAAAATCTGGATGATACTATAGACGACGAGAAATTGAGGAAAGAATTTTCTCAATTTGGTACCATTACTAGTGCCAAGGTAAACTTCAATCTTTTCCTTATTATATTTAAATTTTGAAAAAAAAACTAACTTATGTACCTATCTCACATTAAATATTTTAGGTGATGACAGAAAACGGTCGTTCGAAAGGTTTTGGATTTGTTTGCTTTCAAACAGCTGAAGAAGCTACTAAAGCAGTGACAGAGATGAATAATAGAATCATAGGTTCGAAACCTTTATATGTTGCACTGGCTCAAAGGAAAGAAGACAGGAAACATACACTGACTAATCAGTTCATTCAAAGAATGGCCACTACCAATAGAATACCTGTATGACAAAAAATTATTTATATTTTTTAAGTATTAATATACATATACTGTTTCAAACATTTAATGTTTGCATTCACAAAATGCAAATGAAATTGAAATAATGATAATATTAAATACTTATTATTGATAAAGAGGATTCAAAACTGACCTTAAAAATATACAATATATATTTTTTTTCAAAAACAATATAACATATAGCCGAACAATCAAATGGGAACCGTATTTCATCCTGGACCAGCAGCTGGATATTACGTTTCCATGCCACCACAGGCACAGAGAGCTTACCCACCTACTCAAATGAATTACAGACAAGTTCCTAGAATGAATAGAGGTTTAATTTCCCCCAATTGACTCAGAAATGCAATTTATGTTATATATTAAAATTTTGCAATTGCCACAATACCATATATAAAATAGTTATTTTACTTCATTAACCCAACATTAAAAAGTATTTGCTGCCCAACAGACGGGAATGAACCTTCCACCAGGCGGACCCACGAACCCTTCTGCTGGTACTTCTTATGGCCCGGCTGGAATTGCACAGCAACAACGTGTACAACGTCAGGCCCAAACCGCACAGGCTCAACAAGCTCAACAAGCCCAGCTGCTTCAACAGTATCAGGCAGCCCAACTTCAGATGCAAGCTGTCGTAGCTGCACAGGGGTTTAACATTTTATTCTCGTGATATATTTTTGCAGAATTGACAGGAAAAATGAAAGTAACAGTAATATGATATAAAAGATATAATTAAAGAGATAGGACATTTATAAAATAACTAGGGCTGTGCCGATCCACATATTTTTTACCGATCCGATCCGATATTTTCCGATATTGGTTCAAACCCGATCCGATACCGATCCGATATTTATATTAATTTTTTACCACCCCTCTTTGAACCAAATGTAATTAATAAATCAATATTTTTTATGCATAAAAGAATTATGCATAATTTAATTTTTTTATTTCAACAATAATTTTAAAAAAAATATATAATAATATATCCATTTTATGTTGGTTTATAAAATTGTAATATTTAATATATAAAATTATAATATATTCCGCAGATGACGCATTTTGCAAAATTACCTTCATCTTTATCAAAATATTTCCATAATTCAGAAACCATATTTAAAATAATTTTTATTTAAAGTATAAATAATAAAATTGGTGTTATTTTTTTAAAAAATTAAAAATAAATAAAACTTTGGGTGTTCCTTTCTATTTTTATAAAAAAACTTGTAAAATCTATTTAAAAAAATAAATAACATTTGCATTGTTTAAAAAAAAATTATTTATAAAATATTATTAATGTAAAATAGAAACTCGAAAAAATATATTTTTTTTAAAAAATATTTTAAAAAAATTTTTTTATTAAAAAATAATAATTCAAAGTTTCATTACTCAAAAGTTTTATAAGAATTGCATTTTTAGTAAAAGGATCGGATCGGGTTTTTTACAGGTATCGGGCCGATCCAATATTTTTGAAAAACGCCAAATATCGGGACCGATCCGATCCGATATTTAATATCGGCACAGCCCTAAAAATAACTCACCGACATTTATAAAATAACTCACCGACATTTATAAAATAACTCACCTTAATTAGCAGTTACAAGAGTAAGTAATGCTTTATTTCTTTTTGAGATGTTCATTAATTAAATTCAGAATGTGGTTGAGATTTGGATATCCCCAAAATAATTATATAGGGAATAAAGGAATAATTTATTTTAAAATGATTACCATACTACACTAGGAATTCCGAGTTAGTAGAGCTCAAAAATTAGATGTTGCAACATCTTATAAAATGCCTTTGATTAAATTTTTTATAGATATCTCGTAAACCAACAACAGCAGCAACAACAGTTGATACAGGCTGCACACGCACAATCTCAGCAAGGAGGACAGGTCCTTACACAGTCAGGAGCAGGGAAGGGAATTTCGAATACTGGTAGTGTGGCCAATGTAAGCCTCGTTAATGGGAATGCTGGAGGTGGGTCTCCGCCTCCACAAAATGTACAGAATAGAAGTGGTGCAGGTATGTCTTTGCCTTTTTATTTTATCAGGACCCATACTAAATCAATCCTTAACTTGAACGAACTGTTATGACTTATAGAACTATAACCAAACTAATATTCCGAATTCCTAAGCAGTTAACCGAGCATTTTTAATTTTTTAAAATCAGTTTAAAAATATCTTTAAATTTGGTTACTTTATTTATTTGCAAGAGATTTAGTATATTTTTCTTATAAATATAAAGGAGATAGATGTATAGTGACGAGAGCTTTCACAATAAAAATGTTCAGAATTTTTTTTTTTAAATTTGTAGGTTGCAAATCTGCACCATATATTTAACATAAGATTTGTTATTTACAATCATACAGTTTTTAGTAACACCAATGGAAAGCCAATAATTAATAAAATATGTTATTTTTTTAAATTTGATCCCTAATATGTAAATTTAAGTGTTGGGTAATTTATGATATCACCCAGTGATTTCGGTCACCATTTTAAAAATAGATGAAACTTGATATGGAGGCCAAATAGATTGTATATTTCATACAAATCCAAATTTTAATGCCCTCGCTCAAATATATCCCGGGTTATGGGCCTTCAAACTATGAGATCTTTTCCTCTTCGAAAATTTTTTTTGGTCAACAAATTATATATCATTTTGTAGCTCTTAAAATTCTCCTTAAGAAAATGTAAAAATTATTTTGAAAAGTGCCTTATTTAAAACGACGAAATTCATGAAATGTGTTTATTACCAATATATTCAAATAAAAATATTAATGGAGAAAATAAGAATTCAAATTTTATTTAGTTTTTTATAATTTTGGAAATAAAAAAAATAATTATAAAGGACGTTTGAAACGATAAAACTCATCAAATATAAACATTACCAATATATTTAAATGTTTAAGTAAAAATATTAACGAAGAAAATAAGAATTTGAATTTTATTTAGTTTTTATAATTTTTGGAATAAAAAATTAATTAGAGGTGCTATCGATACAGATAGTTATAATATTTTCTTTTTATTGAGGTACAAAAATATATATTTTTTAAAATTTCGATATATATAATATTTTATAATAGTGGTTATTTATAATATAAAATGCATATTTTATAAAATGGAAATATAAAAGACCAGATAGATTATGATTTTTTGTCCGTGATCTTGTTGGATTTAGTCTATTTTTTTTTACAAAAATCATTTTATATATTTATGTCCAGATAAAATGAACTGTAATTTTTTTATGTAATTTGAAAGTAATATAAATTCATTAAACAAATCTAAACGATTATTTTTTATTTTTAGGTAATCTTAGGTCATCTGTTCCTCAACAGGCGTCCTCCATGATGAATAAATATGGAAGCCAGGTAATTGTTTTGAACGGATCTATAGCTAATCATATTATTTTATTTAAGATTTATTAATTTCATCCATAAAATTTCCACTCATTTTAATATTTTTTAAATATATGTTTACAGCCTTCAGCTTCGCCATCCAATTCGATAGCCAATGCTACTCCAAATAATGAGGGGGAACTTACATCATCAGAATTAGTTGCTATGGACGAGGTTCAACAGAAAACCATTATAGGTAATATCTTCCTACATTGCTAATTTTTATTTCTGTAACTCTTAATTTTATAAGATTTGTATTTTAGTTATAAAGTATGATACTGAAAAGATTTTATTTTTTTAATTTGATTTGTTAATAAAGAAGATTTTGTTTAAAATCAATAATAATATTAAAGATAACAAAATTTCAGAATTTGTTTTCTAAGGTATGGTACTAAAAATAATTTTAATTTGCTGAAGAATATTTTAGTTTAACAAATATAATATATTAAAGGTAACAAAATTTTTGAGTTTATTTCCAAAATTTTTCCGGAGGAGTCACCTAAACTCACTGGAATGCTACTTGAAATGGATAACTCGGAACTACTTCATTTGTGGGAAGATCAACAGCTGCTTAGATCCAAGGTTATATTAAAAATTACAATTTATTTTTCTCCATAGTGACAATTTTTTTTAAAATCTTTGATGGATTCAAAGTCATTTCAAATATTTTTATACATGCTATATTCATTTCTTGAATATTTTCAGATTGATGAGGCTAGAGTTGTATTGGGAGCTCAACGTCAAATTATAGAGAAAGCTTAGGTTGGGAAAGAGATACAAGAAATTATTCAATATTTTTTATAACACATTTATTTCAGCACTGACATCAAATAACCACATTTAAATTTGACTTTTGTTTGCTATATACATTTATAAAATGCTTTATCACCATTTTTTTTATTAATTTTATCTTCACATTTATGCTTTTGAAATTTAAAAATTTTCCATTTTCTTTGATATTTTTACGAATACTCTCAAAAATCTTTACTTGATTCATTTTTCATACTTTCTATTTTAATGATATCCAGTTAAATTTTATTTATTTTGCAAATTTTCCAAAAAATGCATCTTTCTAATTATTTAAACTTTGTATAATATCTGTCATATTTTTCAAAATTTGTTTTAAATATTCATTATTATTGATATGCTTTTGAATCTTTCATCGACAATAAAAACTTAAACTAACTATTTACAAGTTTGACAAGATGAAATTTTTATGATTTAAATAACATTAATTTACTCTCGACAACCTCAAATGAAATCTGTAATATAACTATATTATACATATGCAGCTATAAGAATTTTTTTATATTGAATCACATATGAAAATATCATGCCACAATATATTAATTACACGTATAAAAGTAACCTTTTCATGAATATATTAATTGCAAGGGTTAAGATTTTTTTATATAAAATGGGCGAACGGGTAAAAAATTTTAGATTCATGGGTGGGCGGGTATTTTTTTAAAAAATTATGGGCGGGTAATTTTTTTAAAATTGGATGGGTAGGCTTGTGGGGCTAAAAACCCGCTCTAATGTAATCAAGTTAATTTTTTCTTTATAAGACATGCGATTTTTTGACAACAAATTAGTTTTAAAATCTAACAAATAATCACATCACCTATGAGTGAATGATTAAATTTTATAAAACAATAATTGCGAATATTCGATACAAATAAAACAAATTATTTCGTATTGAAACTAATCAAATAACAAAACGAATAATTTACGCTACTGTTTATAGTGTATATGTTCAGTACCAATTCAAAAATCTGAATAGATATAAAATACGCTGATACCTGAAAATACATAAATTAAAAAAATAGAAGTATAAAAAGTCTAATGTTCAGGGTTGGGAATTTTCAGAAAATTGTAATTGGATTACTTTATAAAATTTTGTATTCAGGATACTAGATACTTTGGAAAAATTTCAATAAGATACAAGATACTTGTATTTTTTTTAAAAAAATGTATCTAAAATACAGGATACTGGTTAAACTTTAAATAGTCAAAATCAAAATGTATCAAGCTTTATTTTTTTTTAACTAAAATATGAAAATAACAAATTAGTTATATAAGATAATGCGATGATTATAGAAAATGGATGCATTTCTTTAACAACAAATGAAGTTAATAAATCCTTTAAATCTTGAGATATATTTTTTTTCTTAAATTATGGCTTTTTTTAAATTAATGATTTTGCAGTTTTCACAATTTTTTTTGTTTGTGTTAAAGGTCTGCATTGGGCGGGTTTTTGGACCAAAAGCCCGCCCACCCAATGTTTAAATTTTTTTTAACCCGCCCAACTAGCCCGCCCATAATTTTCAAAAAAATATATACACGCCCACCCCACATATTTGTCTAAAATTCCTTACCCGCCCGCCCATTAGTCTAAAATTTTTTACCCGCCCGCCCATTATTTATAAGAAATTTTAACCCAAGCCCGCTTATAAAATTTAATTATGGCCATTCTTTCAATTTTTTAAGCATCTAATAAAAATATTTCAGCATTAAACTTCTACAAAAAGTTTATAATTTAGGAAATTAATTTAATAAAAAAAAATAATCAATTTAAATTATGGACAATTTATTTGATCAAATATAATATTTATGGAAAAAAATATAAATTATAATTGATATTATAATGCAATAATAATAATGAATCGACATTTTCTGGATTCAAACACGTTCTTCTTTGTTCTAAAAACCTTCCAGCAATGCTAGATCTCCGTTCTGAAGAAGCACTATTTCTTGATAATTTTGATAGCTTTGGCATATCTTTTTCTTGTCATTTCCATGGATATCCGTATGAATATATCCTCTTCCTCAAATGAGATCCGGTATGCAATAATCTCTTTTTTTGAAGTGAGTACGGTATGATTAATCTGCCTTCCAAAATAAAATACCGTGGTATTTTTGTAATCGTTTTCATGCATTCGAAATAGTAACAGAACAAAATACTATACAATTTTATAAACCGGACCTCGAGTTAAGAAACAGATACATCTAACCAAGGATTTGAAGCTGTTGCAAAAGTATGATAATGGTAACAAATTTCCAATAGCTTACACCTCAAGAACTTTACAAGATGCTGAAAAGAATTATTCTACAATAGTCAAAGAAGCAAAAGCAATAATAAACGGCGTAGAAAAATTCGAAAATTTAAAATAAGAACAGACCACAAATCTTTAATAAAGATATATAGTAATTGCAGAGATTTAAGCTCATTAAAAAACCAAAGATTATTACGTTGAACTTTAAAATTTTCTGCATATGATTATGATATAATGTACAAAAATGGCGCTAATAATATATTTGCAGATGCTTTATCGCGAATAACAAGCGAAAATAAAACAGTGAAATGTATAAGAAATATTACTTATGACACATTAATTTTATCAAGAAAAGAATTTAGAGAGGAAATCGCAAAAGATCCAATTTTAAGAAAAGTAAAAATATAATAAATTGTCAAATATACAAAATCAAGCACCAGAATTACAAACTTTTAGAACAAGAATAGATTAAATAGAAAATGATGACGGTATTTTATATTGGAATGGCAGATTAATCATCCCGTACTCACTTCAAAAAAGAGTTTTATATATATTGCATACGGGACATCCAGGTATTACATCAATGAAATCCATTACGAGACATTATATATGATGGGAACAATTAGATGAAGAGTTGAAAAACTAGTAAAGTGTTCTTCACTTTAAAAAAACGATTGGTACAATAAAAATGAAATATTGTTATTGATCATTTAATTAGATATTTAGTTTGTTTTTGAACAAAAATTTTAAATTTCCTTAACCCGTCCGCCCATTGTTTAAATTTTTTAAATTTTGTTATGCAATATATAGAGTCTTTCTCAGATAATTTTTAGAATATAAAATATATTGTGTTCTATTTCACATATTTGATATTTGTCATTAGTTGGCAAAATAATAGCATGACTTTTACTAACTCTTAAATAGCGCCCTTTTTTGTTTTTAATGCTAATAATGGGCTATAGGAAATTGCAAAACCTGGTTTCATATATTTGATAAAAATTATTTTACTAAGTTATAAATCTTGCTAAATTATATATTTTACTGCCCAATTTAAATTAAATACTACTAAAAGTGATGAAAAATGCTGACTATTCTAATCAAAAAACATCTATATTAGCACTGAGTATTATATATTTCAAATCTTATAATTATTATTTTGCTTTTAAATTTTTTTTAAAAATTTACAGAAAAGAAATAAAACCATTTTAAAAATAAGTGGTTTGGATCTACTTTTTTGAAAATTTATAAACAGATACAATTTTTAAAATAAATAGTATTAAACATAAAATATTTTCATTTTGTTATTTTAGTCCAGGATTCAGACTGATATAAATTTACGGAACAGAATAGTGTTCTAATATTCATATTTAATGTTATATATATATCTTTTTAACTTAGTGGCGTGTGGGTTGGAAATACCCCCCACCCCTCTTCATGATAAATATAATGTGGTTAAATGATCTGTTTTCATAATATCTATTGAAATCTAGATGAAAAGTATATCATGGAAATAACCTCCCTCTTTCTAGGGAAAAAAATTGCTTTCATTTCTTTTTTCAATTTTAAATTGTAAAACCTCTTCCATAATTTTTATCGATTTCTATAAAAATCGATCATGTTTTCTTTCCAAGATGTCACAAATCTATACTTTTTATGCTATCTACTAAATTATAAAGAATCAAAGCTACCAACCGATTTATCAATTCTCATATTTTAAGATTGCCCTTTATCGCTTAGCATTAAAACAGAAATGCTCAAAAAAAATCCATAAACGTCGAGAAAATACTCAACTTTCAGAAAATATTGAATATAATTTTTTAGAAATATTTTCGTTGTTTTAGCGGCAGAGTTATTTTTAATAATTTTAAAAAATTTATTCTGGGAATTTTTTCCCGGTTTTTTTACGGGTATTTATTATCCCCTATATTTAATTTAAAATCTAAAAAATGGGGAATTTTTTTCAGGGGAATTACGGGAATTTTTTTTCCGGGAAATATTTTCCGCTTACCATATTTAACTAGTGCTTCAAATATATTTAAAATACTATTTAAATTAACAATATAAATTTTTTTAGTATCTTTTTGAATACAAAGTTAATTAATATACAGATACTTTTAAATAATTTGTATCTTTGATACAAGATACTTTCCAGATACAAAAGCAAAAGTATTGTATCTTAGATACAAATATTTGAGATGCTGCCCAACCCTGCTAATGTTAATTATCAAAGAATGCAAATTGTAAAAAAAATATACTAATTGTTTATAACGGAGTATAAAATGTTATTTAATTACACAAATTTTCATTTAACATGTATTTTTTTAAAACAATTTCCATGTAATGTAAGTTTATCTATATCAAATATTTACAGGCATAAACTATTAATAAATTAGATTATTTGTTAAGGTAAATCTATTTTATCTTTAATATTCTTGAAATGTAAATGTTTCATAACTTATATAATATAAAATTAAATAAAATTGAATCCGTTATTAATGTTTAAAAAAGGCATTGATATTTTAATATCAATTTTGAAAATACATTTGAATATAAATTAACGTTTTGGATATGTGGAAAGCGAACAAACGTTCTTTCTGTTTTTTTATTACTACTACAATTCATATGGAATATATAATTTACCAACACTTTATTGCAAATTTTTCCTTTTTACAATCTTATAAAATAATATGTAAACTTCAATCATGTTTAGTTTAGTTATTCATATCATTATCTTTTCATCACTGATAAATAGAAACAAAGGCAAAATAATATCGTTTTAAGAATATATGATGTTGATCCTAAATGCGGAGAAAGATTTTTCCTACGTCTATTATTATTTGATGTTTGTGGCGCTACAAATTTTGAATATTTGAGAAGGGTAAATGTTATTTGATACTTTTAAAGAAGTGGCTATTAAAAAGAATTTATTGTTTGGCAAGGAATGGGAAAATTATCATGGAAGACGCTTCTACACTTTTAATGCCTATATAGTTGCATCAACCTTTATTCATATTTTTATCAACTGGAAATCGTATAAAACTGGGAAACTTTTAAGGAATTTATGATTGAAGATTTCACCCATACTCATATAAAATCTATTGCAATTGATACGGCATTATCATATATATATATAGAGAAAATTTACGTCACCACGGTTCCGTTGTGATAATTTTAATTTGTTTACTCAGGGTGAAATTTATAATATTGATCTTGAGTCAGTTGGGACAATAGAACAGATTTCAAAGTTAATTTTTTTACAGAAATCATCTTGATTAAATCGCTGTACATTGAAAATAATATTTCAGCGTTATTGTTATATTGATAGTCTTGCCTTAAGGTTCGGGAAAACCTTTTTGTATAATACTCTAATGTGTTACATAAGAGGCCTCAACCAAATCGTGCTACCATCTGTAACAACAGGAAATAGTATATTGCATTTAAAGATTATATAAATTATATTTAGTAGCTACTATCATTGAAATATCAATAGCTTGTTGTTGCCTCATTCTTTACATTCAAGAGGGGTTTATCGAGCACCAGTGAATGAATGATAAACAAAATTTAGTTCTAATGGGATATGAAAAAAATATAACACAAAATATATTTTTAATTTATTTATGTTAAATTTAAAAATTGTCGTATTATATATATAATTATATTATTTTGTATATTCATTCATAATTATCTGCATTCAAAAATTCTCAATAAAAATAATAATTTTCTATGAGTGTATTTTGTTTATTTCAAGCCCCTTTCCACAACTAAATTCCTGGCTATGGACTTGTGAATATCCAATAGAAGATAGAAATTGTTATTGTGTGATGGATGAATTGTATAGTTTTAACTCATGTTAGGGGGGGGGGTACATAAAGAATATAGTGTATTGCTTGCTAAAAATAATCGGAATTGTAAATTTTAATGATTAATATAAAAATTTATTTTGATTCAAAATTAGTTGTTAATATTGCACATAAAAATTTTGCAATTATGTTAAATTATATGGGAAAATAAAAATATCAATCATTTACAATATTTAATATAATGAATTAATAAGTTCATGGCAATTTGGTCTAATCGACGGTCTTTGACTCCAGCACTGTTTCATTATCTTTATATAGACATCATTTTCAGGGTTGGAGTCATCTTTGAGTGATATAAGTGGCCTCATACCCATCTTTACCAAGTTATAAATAACTGTATCTTTGAGATACCCAAAATACGGCATAACACGAGTTAATAACTGCCACATAATGACTCCAATCGAATATACGTCAACCTTTGGTGTTGGCAAATAACCCATAAATAATTCGGGAGCGGAATACTGCCATGTTACTGATACCGGGTTAGCAACGTTTCTGGTACTCTCGATAAAATTTTCTGTTAATAATCGGGCACGAGGTATTAATACCGATGATCCAAAGTCTCCTAATATTTTTTAATTTGATATAGCAAATAATCAATGATTTATCACAATTCAAAAACACTAAATAGCTGATTAAAATATATTCAAATCAAGTCACAATAGTTTAAAAAAATGACATATACATCAAAGACCTTCATGGGCCAGGTATGGGCCTAATATCATATTTTCTAGCGGGTCTGGGCCGGGCCTGGGTTTAAAAATTTTTTTTTTAATTGGGACTAAAATTATTAAATCTAAATTTATATTTTATAAAACAGTTGCTAATTTAATGAAATATTGCCTTTTTTTCTTCTAATAATAATAAATTTCAGTATTGTAAACAAAATGATGCCTAAATATATTTAAATATTGTTAATTTTCATTAAATAAAAAAAAAATTAAATTTTTGTATATGGGCTTGGGAATTTTTTAACATTAAATATGGGCCGGACCGGGCTTGGTTAAAAAATTAAGGCCCCTGAAGGTCTCTGACTTAGGTAGAGGAGTTAACAGACTATCATTTGAGATTAAAATCGATTATTTTACTGTTTTCTAAATTTTAGTTATTTTAATAAATCCATTTCGATGTACACCTGTTTTCCATCTCTAATAATATATCAAATAATTTTTTCCAAAAGTAATTATTTTTTAAAACATAAAACAATAATTTTTGTTATATTTTCTTTGTCCGAATCCCAAATTTTCAAGCTAAAAAAATTGGGAAAAAAAACAACTAAGATTTAGGCGAGTTAATGGAAAAAGAATATATCAGGATGAACCCCTTTTTCTAGAACAACCGAACCTGAAATATTTTAAAATTATCATTGAACACGAATAGAAACCCTAATAAAACAAAATAAGGGTTATTTGGTTCAATCAATTTAAATGTATAAATTATGGGAAGAAACACAAATTACAGTTAGCATTCTATTTTCCTAACTGATTTTGTTTTATTCTTTTTTTAACCAATTTCACCACCATTTTAAAATATTTGTTCAACCAACTTCAGTAATATCTAAATTATCTATTTTAAATTCAGTTAAGTGATAAATTACATTAAATTTAATTAATATTTGATTTTTTAAAGATATTAGAAAAAGAATTCAAAGCAACATAAATATGAGCATTAGTGATCTGAATCGGGCCTAATTATTCAAGCCGGTGTGGTATTGTAAAATTCTAAAATAAATACGGTACTGATTGATAATTAATGACTTATTTTTTCATCGTTTCAAATATATTGGCGGCCATTAAAATTGTAAAATAGTTATTATATATTTTTTCATCGCTTCAAAAATTTTGGCGGCCATTTTCGATTTGTAAAAAAATTATTTAAAATAGATTTAATAGTTTTAAATATATTTAAATGATTATAAAAATGATTATAAAAATGATTTCTATTCTTTTATATAATTTTTCAGAGAATTTATTTATTCTACAATTCTTGATATCCTATATAATTTTTGTTTGTTTACTCATTATTTGTAATATTTTTCTTATGGTTTAAATTATATTGTTTATTCAACTCTATCCTGCAGAAAATTTTAAATAAATACAATGCAAGTTTTCTTTATTTACCATCGTATTACTGGGATCTCAAGCCTTAAAATTTTAATAGACAAAAGCTTAAGCTAATCAGAGACAAATGAGGGTTTCTATTACGTCAAAGGATCTCAATCAATATCTATCACTCTGATTATGTTTTAATCATTTCCTGTTGGCTTCTTAAAATCGTCATTTTATTTTTTAGATGATGATTATATTTAGCTGATTAAAATTTAACACTTATATTTATAGTATACAAAATTTTTTATATAGAAATTTATAAAATAAAATTTAAAATCAAATCTTAATGTTTTAAATTATTTTTTTAAACTGAAACAACTATTTTTCTTTGTATGTATATATTTTATTGCAATAATATTAAAACTGGCTGATTTCTTAATACTAAGTATAAACATAATTTTATTTAAAAAAAACAAAAAAATATTATAAAAAGAAAAAATATCCCAAAAAAGGAAACATAAATTATCACAAAAAAATAAGGATATATTACATTATAATACGATTAAAATGATCTGAACCATTATATATTCAAATTAAAATTTTTTATACAATCTTTATTTTTGATAATGCGGAGTATGTAATGTATTTCATTTCCATTTTTACAATATAAAATGATCTGCGTTTGGAGAAACGTGGCAGATGCTTCGATATCTAATTCATCCGCCCACCCCACGTTCCAGTTGATGTTTTTTTGTATTAACTAAATGTTTGATTATGTCTTCTAGGGCTGTGCCTATATTAACGGACCAAATAGGCACCGATATTTAGCGTTTTCCAAAAATATCGGATCGGGCCGATACCTGTAAAACCCCGATCCGATCTTTTTACTTTTTTTTTGTTATTTTATGTATATTTATTTTAAATTAAAAATATTTTCTAAATAATTATATTTTAAACAATGCAAATGCACAACACCCCTTAAATTTTATTTAGTTTTTAAATAGATTTAGTATTTTAAAAGTTTTTTTTAAAAAATAGAGGAACATCTAAAGTTTTATTTATTTTAAAATTTTTTAAACAATAACGACAATTTTGTTATTTATACTTTAAATAAAAGAATTTTTCAAATATGATATCTGAATTATGGAAATATTTTACAAAGGACAAAGATAATTTTAAAAAAGCGTTATCTGCGGAATTCTAATTTCACGGGGAGGAATAATAAAAAATTAATTTTACTACCAATACCCGTAAATTTTTTTAAATTATTGTAGAAATAAAAAAATTGAATTAAATTCATAATTTTAAAAATATTGATTTCTTAATTACATTTGGTTCAAAGGGTGGTGATGTAAATCAATATAAATGTCGGACCGGTATCGAATCGGGTTTGAGCCAATATCGGAAAACATCGGATTAGTTAAAAATATGTGGATCGGCAGAGTCCTAGTCTTTCCTCATAAAATCATTATTTTCCAAATGCATCATATAAGAGACAATAGATCTCCTTATAATTGCATGATGATCCTCGCTGCCTGTGATCTCTTTGCAAGAAGCTATAATAACAATTTCCGTCACCAAGAATTGCCTCAAATTTAGGTGAATGACTTAAATTCTTAGCTTTACCATGGCTTTTTGTTCTTGATAACGAATGAGGGATGCCTAACCTCTGAACGTGATATTTCTTCCATCCATAATTCGTGGTAAGGTAATGGAGAAATATTTGGCTCTTTATATAATATTATTTTAATATTGGTAGAATTTTCTTTTTCCTCTTCCCCTATATTAGAGTTTTGGATGTAGGGCTTGAGGTTACACCAGTATACTTTCGCTTTAATGGAGTATTTATCTTTATTATTCACACTATAAAGATCGTTGTCATATACTTTATCAATTATATTTGGACCAAGCCAGGGAACCGACATTTTCCCACCCTTTCGATCCGCACGTCGGGAGTTCCAGACCAGGACCTGTTGTCCGACTTCATACGGGATTTTATCCTTTTTCCTTTTTTGATAATCTCTTTTTTGTCTATGTATTAAATATATTTTCTTTAGCCTTTTTCCATACGACTGACATTTAAAAATTCGTTCTCGTCAAAGTCATTATCAATATTATTTACATCAGAGGTCTTAGGATCATTATTTATTTCCTCAACAAGGCTTAGTTTTGGAATTTAAGTCTGATGGAAGCTTTGCGTTCCGACCATATAACATATAAAATAGGGTATATCCTGTAGATTTGTGTACTGGTTCGCATTGCAAACATTACCCCCGGAAGAACCCTAGGCCATTGTGTTTGATCATCCATCCTCAAGCTAATGGGTTAATAAAGAATAGTACTATCCAAAGCTTTACTATCCAAAACTTAATGTTAAAGGTTTTGGGAGATGATCAAACACAATGGTATTTTCTTTTTATATCATTTTTCTTGTTTTTTTGAAATAAAATTATGTTTATCCTTTTTATTTTATATAGTATTAAGAAATCAGCTTTTTAATACTATTGCAATAAAGTGTATACATACAAAAAAAATAGTTGTTCAGTTTAAAAAAATAATTTAAAACATTAGATTTGATTTTAAATTATTTTATAAATTTCTATATAAAATTTTGTATTCATAAATATAAGTGTTAAATTTTAATCAGCTAAATATATAATCATCAACTAAAAAATAAAATGACGATTTTAAGAAGCCAACAGGAAATGATTAAAACATAATCAGAGTGATAGATATTGATTGAGATCCTTTGACGTATTAGAAACCCACATATGTGTGATTAGCTTAAGCTTTTATCTATTAAAATTTTAAGGCTCGAGATCCCAATAATACGAAGATAAATGAAAAAAACTTGTATACATTGTAATTATTTAAAATTTTCTGCAGGATGGAGTTGAATAAACAATATAATTTTAACCATAAGAAGAATATTATTACAAATAATGAGTAAACAAACAAAAATTATATAGGATATCAAGAATTGTAGAATAAATAAATTCTCTGAAAAATTATATAAAAGAACAGAAAATCATTTTTATAATCATTTAAATATATTTAAAACTTTTAAATCTATTTTAAATAATTTTATGGCCGCCAATATTTTTGAAGCGATGAAAAAATATTTAATAATAAATATTTTGCAATTTTAATTGCCGCCAATATAATTGAAGCGATGAAAACATCTCTTAAAAATCACTACGGTATTGATTCTACACCAATATACCACTATGGTATTGAATCTACAATGATAATATCAATACGGTATTGAAGCTACAATGGGTATTGATTTAACAATCCTACGCCCGAATTTTTTTAAAAAAAATTGTCCCGCTCTATCCGATCGATTTTTTTATTTATCTCGAAAACCCGTTCCGAAATAAAGATAAAAATTATTATTTCTGAAAAAATCAATCTATACTTTTTATGTACTAAATTTAAAGTATCAAAACTACCAACCGATTTATCAATTTTCATATTTTAAGATTGCCCTATATCGCTTAGAATTAAAACAGAAATAATGCTTAAAAAAAATCCTCAAACGTCGAGAATAAATACTGAATATAATTTTTTAGAAATATTTTCGTTATTTTAACGGCGGGGTTATATTTGATAATTAAAAAAAAATTACTTGAGGAATTTTTTTCCGGGGAATTTTCCCCTATATTTAATTTTAAATCTAACCCTGTAATAATTTTCTATGGGAATTTTTTTCCGGGTAATTATTTTCCCTTTTTTCAGGGGAATTATCTTCCAGGGGATATTTTTTTTCCTAGGATGTTTTTTTCTGGGGATTTTTTTCCAAGGAATATTTTTCGGGGAATTATTTTCCGCCTACCCTTTTTTGTTTCTGCTTATGTTAGTTGATTAATATTTATGTTAGAGGGGAATGAAAAGAGACATGTGCAGTCCTATATTAGTGATTTACCTATGGCCCAAGTTATGTTGGTCATACCATCAGGTTTTAAGCCATCTACTTGAGATAAATTTGTGAGATCAAGATGGCCGTTAGACATCTTTTTATTACATTGTTTATTGCTGTGCGGCGCTGGTGTCGCCCTTGACTAAATATATAATTAAGGCCATGCCTACCCTTTGAATCGAAGAGTGATTTGCATTTGATGCAAGCACGTGACTGTACGATGTCGCAATCTAGACGTAAACCAATGGTAACTCTCAATTGTTCGTCTGATAAGAGGTTACCAAGGTTACGATTAGGGGGTGATTCTAACCATTCATGATACCAAGTCTGTCAGATGATTGAAGGAGTTGAATGCAATATAAAGGTGGATTGACTGATATATAAGTTAGGTATTTCAAAATTAAAGGGTGTGAATAATATTTTGTGTGATGATTGATGGTAAAGAGTGCTAATAAGTATATTAACCTCCCATTTGGTATTTAAGTCAGCTAATAAACGATAGGTGGGGCATGTGAAGCCTGAGATCATAAAATTGTTTGTTAATCTAGATGATAAAAATAATGATAAGGATAAAAGATTAAGTGCCAAAACGTCTAAACCTCTAAGGGCGACACAGCGCCCCAGTCAGTAATGAAGCATGTATTAAATCGATGTCTAACTGCTGCCCACATTCCGAATTTCAACCAATTAATTTATCACAAGTGGATGACTTAAGACCTGATGGTATGACATCCATACTTGGACCTTGGAAAATCACTAATATGTCTCTCCATTCCCCTCTAACATAATATCAATCCACTAACATAAGCAGAAACAAAAAGGATCAATAAATACAAAAATTTTAACAACTTTTTATTTACTCCATTAGTGACTTCCACAAACGGCCACTTTCCGCCATTACCTATAAGTTTTTAAAAAATCTAGGCATAAAAATCTGGCTTTCAAGAAAGGAAGCTAAAGAACTTTTATATATGCGTCAATTCAGACATAAATTTTTAGATATAATTATGGTTCCTTTTTCAGAACACAATTATGAAATTGTATTTTTAATTCTAGTGTCAATTCAGATAGAAATTTTTAGATATAATTATGATTCATTTTTGGGAACACAACTATGAAATTATATTTATAATTTTATAGTGCTATAATATATTATGATAGAAATTTTTAATTTATTAATTAAAAATTCTCTAATAATTATTAAAATTTCATTTAATGTAGGACAGTTGGTTTTTGTAAAAGTATTAAAATCAATTTAGTGTTGATAATTTATAAATGCTCATCACTTATTTCTAGTTCAAATTACTTTTTACCATATCATTTTACACATTTAATATATAATATAATATTAATGAATAATATATAATTAAAAATGAAATTAAATTTATTAATTTTTTTTAATCTCTATGAAATTATTGTTATTTAAAAAAAATTTTTTTTTAACTTTTTCATTTAAAAGTTTAATAAATGTTCCTCAATTCATCATTTTATTATATAGATTTAAGATCAAAGATAAAATCATATTGTGAAAAATTATTATTTTTCAAAACGATAATTATTTTATTCCCTCCCGGAACATTATTATATCAGCTCAAATCGGTTTTTTATTAGTGTTACTCCGACATTCTTTTGGTTTCAAATTATTTTAATAAAATGCCTTAACCCGGGTTTTATAAAAATTGTGTAAATTTAGCTTTAGTAAATTTAATAATCTTTAGAAAGTTATATTTAATTTTTTCATAAGGGCTGAAATAAATATTTTCAACTGAACATTTTGTATATTTTATTTTAAAGAGTTCAATAAAATTCGTAGTATTTTTTTTAAAGATTATTTATAAATAATTATATTCGTAATGGATTTTTTAAATATATATTTATATTAGTATAAAATTTCATGAAAAAAATGCCTAAAATTCAGTGAGGTACCTCTACACATGCTGAAATACGTTTAGGGCAAAATAGGGTCTTTTAAAAGTAAAAAGCGAGGGTAAGTTTTAAAAATGAACTAAAAATCTAGATTAGCTAAACGTCTTCGAGATATAGATTAATTTATTTTACCTAGTTTCAGTTCGAATTTTTTATATACCATAATGTTTTTCGGCTTTACATCCATATGAATGAAATTACTAGAATGACAGTAATTCAATCCTTCGGCAATTTGGTTAATCATGAATATTCTATCCTTCATGTCAAAGGATATCTTTTCATCATCAATTACATTTTGTAAATTAAAGGTGCCTCCAAACTCCATGTATATGTAAAGTATTTTAGGTATGTTGGATATATCATAATTAATTTTCATACCATATAATTTTATTATATTTTGATGATTTAAGTGGAAGGCGTTCATTTCCGATTTGCATACGTGATTAAATGCTACATTTGAGGTAAATTTTATTTTTTTGGTAACGTAAGTTAAATTTTTTTTGGTCTTTACGCAAACATAGCTAAAATTCCCTCTGCCAAGATACAGTTTATTATCGTTGCTAATCATGAAGGCTTTCGGGGCTTGGTTGTGTTTGGAAGTTTTTATCAATATTTGAGAATCTTTTGTGTGGGATAGTTGATGTAGCAATGGATCAGTGAATTGTGTTGATACTCTCGTTTGAGAAAACACGGGAGAGATATGCCTATCATGATCGGATTCAAAAAGTTGATGATTAGGAGACGAGATAGGTGTAATGGAATTCTCGGAGGAAAAACTTAAATCTGGAGGCGTCGTCGTTTTAACCACGACAGAATGTTGTTTATAGATAGATTTATTTTGCTTCAAAGGTGTTGTTAATAAGTTTGAGTTTGGGGATTTTAAATTACGATTGTATGGAGATGGGTAGCTACTACTCTCTTTACAACATAATAGATCGTGCAGTGAATTAGGAGTAAATGCCCGGATAGGTGATTGTTTCAAAGTTAGGTGAGTGGTCGTATTAGTCAGAGTATTTTTTATTACTAATAATTTTGAATTAAAGTATTTGGCCATGAATATTATTGTTACATTTAAATAATATATAAAAAATTAATTTTATGAATACTACTGGTAGATTTAAATAATATATAAATTGATATTATCAATTTGTATTTTTTTGTAAGTCCTAAGGGACTCATTACTTAAAAAAAAGAAAAACTAAAAAAGTTCCATTAATTTTATATAATAATTTAAAAATTGATTAAATTATGTTGATGTTTGACATTCAAATGGTTTCATAAATTAAATATAAATTGGATCTACTAATGACTTTAAAAAATATTTTTAAATACCCTATTAAAGTTTTTGATTGCACCTTAACATAATCCGACCATATTCTTCTACCATGTTTGGTGGACTATAATAAGTGAAGCTAACATTCCTCTTGATAAATTCACAAGTTTTCCAAAATATAATTTTAATCTAATAAAAAATACCCCCCCCCCCCCCCCACTTAAATGAAAGCAATTTAAAGTTTTCATTAAAAAAAATTTTTGAAGAAAAAGTAACTTTTAGACTTCAATTAAATTTATGAGGGAAAAACCATCTAAAAGTTATCACTCACTTGGTAAAATCCTGATTATGCATATGGCTGGTTTACAGATGATTTTTCCCCAAATACCCATTCTACTCCAAAAATTATACTTCAAGTGATATTGTGTCAAATTAGCAGATGTCTTCCAATATTTAAATAAAAGTCTTTGCAATTATCTCAACCCTTAACAAATTTAAGAATCTATTAAATGAATACCATAAGATACTGTATCTAATATATTTTCTAAAGGAAAGTTGAAAACTGAATTTATTTCTTTTTTTAAATAATTTTTTTAATAGTTTTAATTTCATAATATTTATTGAAGAGGGAATATTGAAATAATATCAAAAAACTTCTTTTATATCAACGCTTTTGGCCTTCTAATAAACTATCGAATCCGCTATTAATCATATTTTGAAATAAAAAACGGTAAATTATGGGCAAAACTAGAAACACTTTGAAATTTTCAGGTTTTCATAACCAAGGAGATATTTGGTGCATTTTAAAGAATGACTAGGTGTATTTTGGTATTGTTAAATTCCCCCAAATAATCATCTTATTTAAAATATGGGCAATGACTGACGGTGACTTGTTAAATATTTTAAAATCCCTTTCTTGTTGCAAAAATAATATCTTATATAATAATCCTCGAAAAACGTCAATCAAATTTAACCAATAGTGTTCTTTTATAAAATATTTGTCCAATGATGATCATCATAGCAATTTTAAGCAAATGGTAATTCCCATGTGATTTGTAATATGGCGAATTTCTTCAATCTATTGCTTGGTTTAGCTGATAGCAATTACAAATTTAAATATATAGATGTGATGATGGCACTTTCAGAAATTGTAGTTTATATCAAAGTAAATTTTTAATATTAATAAATAATTTTTAATTATTTTAGAGTTAGAAAATAAAACATTTTATATTTTGAGAAAAATGGATTTCCAAACTGCCTTGGCTCATTAGATGGTAAGCACATAAAAATAAATAGTCCTGCAAAATTAGATCTTTTAAATCAATTGATTTAATTAGGTAATTTTTATGCATAAGTAAATATTTGCATCTCTCTTATCTTTTCTGAAAATTTGGCCTTTCATGCATACTATAGTGGTGTACATTTTCTAATAGCTTCATAATTGTAGAATGTATGTTCTTCATAGCTTATTATTTTTGATTAAATGTATAACCTTTTTGTTTTACTTATATATAATTTGACTATGATAAGTCCTATTATTTGTTAACTTAGAATATCTTTTTATTTTTTATTGTAATTTAATAACAATTTCTTAAATTTATTATATTTTGTAACCAAGTAATAAATCATTTGAAAAAGGTGGTGGTTTGTTTAAAATTTAAATTAGGATAAACATATTTTCAGCATGGTACTTAAATATGTATTCATGAATTTCAAATAAATACTAGGAGCTAACCAGTAGAATGATAAGTAAATCAGATATTTACCCTTCATTTGATAATAATTTTGAAAAATTTTACCAATAATATAAAATGGCAAAAAAAAGGAACATATTAGAATTTAATTTTTATAAACCCCTTACATCAGGCCTAAATCTAAGGAAAAAATAAATTATTCTGGGTTTTCCTGGGCTTGGGAAATAGTTTTCACAATTAATATGGACTTGGACGTAGCTTGAGAAACATTTTTCAAAGATTCCTGAAAATTTTTTAATTTTAAATATGGGCTAGAAATTGGCCTGAAGCCTGATCAAAACCAAGGCCCATGCAATTTTCATATTCTGACTGTATTTTTAAATGCATTGTGACTTTTTATATATTTTATTTCAGTTCTCAACTATCAAAATTATTATGGTCTTTGGCGGGTTTGAGAAAATTTTCTCAAGTGTGTGGACCTAGCTAGAAAATTTTTTAATAATAGGCATAGGTTTAATATTTAACACAGAATATTTATATGGCCCTCAGGTAAAAGTTAATTTTAATGTATTTTTATTCAAAAGAATAGTATTCACTCTCAGTCTTAATGGGTTGGTCTTTATCTGAAGTAGGGGTGAGATGGGTTAAAATAGAATAAAAAATAGATATGGTTTTTAGAGATTTACCTATCTCCAGATTAGGAAAAAATTTTTGAAAATTACTATGGGTTGGCCAGGCTTGAGAAATTTATTTTATAAAATTATTATAGGTTGGGCTGGGCTTGGAAAATATTTTTATAAATTATATTGGGCTGGGCTTGGGAAAAATTTTTCAAAATTATTATGAGCTTGGATGCTTGAGAATTTTTTATTATTAACTATGGGTCAGACATTGGCCTAAAGCAAATTTTTTTGCAGGCCTGGGCTCGGCCTGACCAAAAAACTAAGGCCCATGAAAATTTGATTTTGATTGTATTTTTAAATTCATTATGATTATTTAAATGTTTTATTTCAGTCAACTACCAAAATTATTATGATCTTTCATTGGGCTTGGAAGAATTTTTTAAAATTATTATTGCTTTGTACTTTGCCTGGGAATTTTTTTTAATATTAAATATTAGGTATAAGTGATCAGTAATATTTAACAAATAATATTGGCATTATCAAGTAAAAGTTTTAAATATATTTTTACTCAAACCATAGTATTTAGTAGTGTTGTTAAACGGCTCATTTTGAGCTGATTTTTTAAAACGGCTAACTCAATATTTTAGCCAGAAAAATTATGCCTAAACCTCGAGATTTCGTCAATATATGTCTAAACCTTTGTTCCTTCTATGAGCAAAATCTTCAGGTTTGTGTAATATTTTTCTGGATGGAATATTGAGTTAGTCTTTAGAAATCGGCTCAAAACGAGCCGTTTAACAACACTAGTATTTAGAACCTGGCTTGAAGGGGGAAAAAAGAATAAAAATTGGATATTATTTCCAAATAACAGGTAAAACCTATAATAAAGGTTAGAGGAAAAATCTCATTCCCCGTCATTTTTGACGGGCTATCTACTAGTACTTATAAAACCAAAAATAATGATAATATCGGATCGGTTTCTTAAAATATTGGCCCAATTCGACTTTTTAAAAACCGTTAATAATGGTCCCCATCTGATTTTTAATATTGGCATATGAGTTGGCCTTTAGAATTTTTAATATATTGTAAATATAATTAATAGTCACCAAATAGATATTTGAAAATAAATACCAAAAAAGTTGTTATAAATCACATTGTAAAATTTAATAAATAAGTACACACAAATTGCATACTATTTGCTAGATTCTTGCTAGTTTGGGTCAATATTTCAAAACAAAAAATTTGAAGCTATTGTATTTTATTAGGTAAAATATTAGAAAAGAATTGCCTATGCCTCACTAAAAATGTAAATTCATTCATATTATCTCATTTGTTTATAATATATATAATTTTTATTTCATAATAATAATTAAAAAATGTTAAAACACTTATATTCAATAAAAGTTACAAAGGGCACCCCATGCTCTTTATAAAGGCGTAGCAAATTTTTCCTATATTTTGGACATGGTATGCACTGCCCCCGTCATATCATTTTTCGAGCCCTAATAATGGTATAAATTAATAAATAAAAATTTTAACTTATTTTTTAATATTTATTCCTTGATAAATTATTTCATAACAAATCTGGCATAATTATGGATTATATAATGAGCGATGCGATGAATTAATTGATCTTGATGATATAGTTAACAAAAGTCATCTCAAAAAGAGGGGACATATGGGAAAAACATAAAAACAGCAACAAAAATGGGTACTTAATGTCATAATTGGGAGACTTGTGAAATTTGATTTTGGTAAAGTCAGTATGTATTGCATTTGATGAGTCATTTTATTTTTATAATTTTATGTTTTAGTTAAATTGGTGAGTCATTGTTATTTTTATAATTTTATGTTTTAGTTTAATCGCGTTAACATTTTATTTTTAGATTTATAAAAGTTAATTATTGTAAAGTCATTATGATGATGGGGTTTAATTATTTATTTGTGATGATTATTGCTTCCCTATAAAAGGGAAGCGAAAATTGTAAATTATCAATTCATTTCTTTTTTGAATTCATCTTTATTTTAATTAATTTTTTTAACAATTAATTTTTTTCGATGATTATTATAAAATTATTGTTTGTTTCTTTTTTGGTTGATTATAAATTTATTGGATTGAAATAAAGTTGGGATTACTCGAAATCATTGTGGTGGAAAATTTTAACAATCGAATAAGAAAAACTTTACACGGTCACAACGTAATACTTAAATTATTGCAAGAGCATTATAAAATATAAAGTAATAACATAATCTCCTCTTTTCAATCAATATAATAGACTCCTTTTCGTTTACGCCCTAGCAGAAAATCGTTTTTTTAAACCTAAATCATCAACTTTTTTTATTCATAAAACAAATTAAAACTCTTTAAAAATAATATAGAGTTAAAAGTAGATTATAAATTATCTTGATTTATCTAGTCATTATATTCCAACACTCTAAAATTGCATTTGCAAAATACACCTGC